AGCAAGGCGGGAACAAAGAGAAGATGCAAGAAATGATACCGACTTGGAAGTTTTATTGTGCGTGGAAGAGAACGATGGAAAGATCAGCACAAGGAAACTTGAGGATGAAATAGGAATAGATCACACTACAGCGTTTCGAATTTTGAAACGACATAAATACTATTCCTTCAAATATGAAAAGCACCAAGAGCTACGAGATGGGGACGAAATACGGCGGCAGGCGTTTTGTTTTGATATGATGGAAAGAGCAAACAAGGATAGGGAATTTTTAAAAAACATATGTTTCACTAACGAATGCACGTTTACCTTAAATCATGAACCCAATGTTAATGAACTCTTTCATTATCGGTTATGGAATTTGTCCTGGAATTTGCTATAAAAATCAAATAACATTTTTAAGAATATTTTTTAAGTGAAACGTGTTTTTCCGCATCAGGTTTTAGTCAAAGAATCCAAGAAGTTCATTTTAAGGTAACATAAACTTTATTTTCTAAGAAGAATCGTGTGTCAGGATAGTTCACCCAAGCCAGACAATAGTTTTAACGGAAATTTTATTGGCCTAAATCATACAGTAAATTGGCAAGCAAGGTCTCCTGATATTTCGCCAAATGATTTCTTTCTCTGGGGCCATTTAAAAAACAGGATATACAAGGATAAAAGATACCCAAATCTAGACGAGTTAAAAAATGCTATTTCTGCCGAATGCAATAGAATTTCAGTTTACCAACTAGCGAATATAAGAAGAGAATTTTATGATCGCCTGGGTTATTGTCTAGCAGTCGATGGAGGAATATTTGAACATCTTCTTAAATCCTAAAGTTCTAACAATTTAATAGTACCCAAGTTAATAAGTTATTGAATATTGTAATAATACTATAATTAACCTTGTAATTGATTACTTTATTTTACTTTAATTCATATTAATTTGTATTTATAAATACATCTTTAAGATTTCCGATGTAGGAATGAGTTTTCAATAATAATAAAGCACTAAATAGGTAAATTTCTGAAATGACAACTTCATTTGACAGTTATCTTTTACCTTGCCTGGTGCTCATAAGTAAATACAGGGCCATAGGAAAGGCGAAATATTTAAAAAGAAATCGGCCATAACTCGTAAACAAGCTAATCAAAAATATCTAAAGTTATTCTTTCGAATGTGGGTTTTAGTGCTCTTCAATAAACCTAAATAGAATTATTCTCTAAAATAATTAGAGAAGCCAATAATTGACCCCATTAAAATTTACATGGGATTTCCTATGTCCCGTCCGACGATGCGACACCCGGTATAATATACTCACATCAAGCGTTAACATCTAGTTGGTGAAAATGTGGAAAGTTATGTCAGTGACACAACTAATCTGTGAGAATTAGCTTCAAAAATTTAGAATTAATTAACGTTTGGGATTATTTCTGACTAATGCTCTCTAACAAAGACACAAAGGCATTTTTCCATAAAGGTACATTGTGTTCAATTAACTTAATTTGACTCATAAAAATAGTTCTATGTCCACGTTATATTGGGTTACTTTGCATAATAAAAATATGTTCATTAATATTAACACTGACCAAATGTTTTTATCACTGTCTACCTACACCGGGGGATTTTCAAAAATGGCTCACCCCTATAACTTTTTTTTCAGATACAAAACGAGATTTGGTATGTTAGTATATGACATAAATCGGGATTGATTGATGTATTCAATGAGTTTCGGTTCTTGTTTCACCTGAAATGACTACAACTTTTGATTTCTAAATGAGCCCCTTGGTATTTTTTACTTTATTTGATAGAAAATGGCATTTTGAATAGAATGTTATATCATATGTCAACTTTTGACATTTTCACTTAAAAAAATAGTATTTTAAATATCAACTTAGAATGTCAAGGCTTTTTTAAAACCTCTAATTTATTTATCAAGGTGCCTTGGTAAATTATTATTTTTAAATGGAAGGAGGACGGCTCATCAGCATATTTGGAAAAAATGTCAAAATTTGACATACATATGTCATTCTATTCATAATGCCATTTTCTATCAAATAAAGTAAAAAAAATACCAAATGCACCATTTAAAAAATTGGCGCCGGGAGCCACGTATAGCCGCCCATACTAAAATATGTTAATAAAAAGTTGGTAGGCACTTCTTTTAGTTTCAAAGTAAAGGAATTTTTCCAATTTTGGTCCGCGGTTATTTCCCCTATCCGCCACCTGGGGTCGCGTCCGATGGGAGTTTGGAGTTCTCCACACGGATTTTCTCAAAAACGCACTACGGAAACACGGAATATCTCAAAAACTGCGACTTTGACTGATTTTGATGTTATTACAAATTTTGTTGCAAATAAACTTGCGTGCATAGAAATCGGTAAACACTGTAAACTTTTGACTTTAACTGTGTCTTTTAGAATCTATTTATCAGACCAAGAAAAAAATATGAGCTGTTTCAAAGACAATTTAACATGCTTTAATATGAGTATAAATTTATCCAAAGTACTTATCGTTTATATGCGTAGCAACGGGTAAACAAACAAAAGGCATTTGTGTTGTGGTGACAATTAGAATAAAAAACTTATCAAATATTGCAATTACTACTTTACTGTTACTTTGTAATCGAAATTTGCACATTGTTCTTTCATTGTTTAATTTGTTGTGTTTCATTGTTTGATTAGTGTTTCAATTTAATGCATACATCACGGGAAAAAACTGCTAAAGTAATCGCTTTAATTGAAAATGGACTTAAACAGAGAGCTGTAGCTCGGCAACTGCATATGACACGCGGAGCGGTTCGAAGAGTGTGTGAAATATATGAGGAGAGTCGATCCTTTCGTAGGCGACCTGGAACTGGTGGAAAGAGATATTCAACGGATCGTGATGACCGCTTTATTGTGTCAACAATATTAAAAAATCGGCATCCTAATGCTATTCAGGTGCTCCGTGAAACACGAGGAGTGACTGTTAGTCAGAGGACAGTAAGACGAAGATTGAAGGAAAGTAACATGACCCTCAAAACACCCGCAATTGGTACAAAACTACCCCAGCTTATCGTCAAACACGCCTGCCTTTTGCACGGAACATCTGAATTTGCTAATAGAACAATGGGAATATGTTTTATTCTCAGATGAGACCAGGATATGCCTCTATGGTAGCGACCGAAAAAGAAAAGTGTTCCAGAGGTCAAGTGAGCGATTCGCAGAATGCTGCATTGAGGAGCGGATTGCTTATGGAGGTGGTTTCTGCATGATCTGGGGTACAATTTCTATGACTGCGCGAGCCGACCCAGTTTTTACCCGTTGGGACGACCGTCGGCACGGGAGAGGAGGTTTAACTGGTGCTAGGTATATTGAGGAGATTTTAGCAGTTCATGTGGTTCCTTACGTCGACTACATTGGAAGCGAATTCACTTTTATGCATGACAATGCGAGAGCACACACATCAAGAATCGTACACGATTACATTTTCGAAGTCGATTTTCGGGTTATGGAATGGCCAGCATGCAGTCCAGACTTAAACACGATAGAACATTTATGGGATGAGCTAAAACGAAGGATTCATACTAGATAAAGAGCCCCAACCTTTATCCCAGAGCTCATTGTTGCAGTATAAGAAGAGTGGCTTAACATACCGCAAACAACAATATCAAACTTGATTGAATCTATGCCAAACTGTATGAGAAATGTTGTAAGAGCAAGAAGGGGTCATACCCATTATTGAAAATTTATTTTAGTTAACTGTCAATCAATAAATAAATAAATAATGGCATACATCTTAGTAATAAAAAACGATAATTTGTTTCATGCACTAATTTAATAATTTTAATCCAAAGAAACCGAAATACAAATTAATATCTCTAAACTCTTTTCAAAGAATATAAAATTGTCTTTCAAACAGTATATATTTTTTCTTAATCTGACAAATATATTCTAAAATATAGTTAACTTCAAAAGTTTGCCTTGGGCCGATTTCTATGCACGAAAGTGTATTATTCCTAATATTAAATTGAAAACCGCGTTTCGCTAGCTACTGTAATTTTGGAGTTACGATTTTTTTAATTTTTAACCCCCTCCCACACCCCCTTACCAACCCCTCACACCCACCGAAAACTAATAGCCAGATTCTCGGGTGCTACAGTATTTTTGTGCCAAATTTGGTTAAAATCGGTTTAGCGGTTTTTGAGTTATCGTGTTACAGACGCAAGAACAGTTAACCTAATAGGACTGCTCATTCAGCCAAAAGTGTCCGCCAGGTGCATGCGAAAACTACTCGCTTTGTGACGTCATTGTAGCCTTTGTCATGGTTATTAGTCCTTATCCGGCAACCAATAATACACACATGTGCATTATTGGTTACCAAATGCAAAACGTTCATTATTTAGTTTATTTATTTAAACACCTTATATATATGCAGTATAGAAAATTAACTGAAAAAATCGTATTAAATACTCGGATAATGCATTTTTAAGAACAGCAGTTCCCAGCATCACCTTTTGCAAGCATTCTTTTTAGAGTACTTCCATATTTTGCTTTAAAATAATTAATAAACAAAATCGTGGGCACTGAGTATGCACTTTGTCACAATCCACAACACAAAATGAACGTATTTATACACTCTATAGCTCTAAAAACTTTAAAGACACCTTTTTCACATTTAAAATTGACAAAATAATTAACTGAAAATTTCTCAGCTGTTATTTTTATAAGTTTACCATAGGCAACTAATAATACACACTATCATGACAAGGCCACGAAGGCTTTGACAAGGGCTACAATGACGTCACAACTGTCAGCTGAAGCGCGGGAAGAGGCGAACGTACGTCTTATGAGGATGAGCAATCCTATTAGTTTACCGTTCTTGTTACAGACGGACAGACGGACACACAGACAGGCACCATAAAAATATTTTGTATTTAGGTCATTTATGACCCAAATAACTCATTTTGAGTAAAATTAAAAAAAAAAAATTTGCCGATCTTAATAGCCTATCATATCTGTTGGTATGGTCGGCTAAAAATTATGTTGTGATTTATGTCATATACCTATAACCTAACATACCAAATCTCTTGTTTTTTATCTGAAAAAATAAAAGTTATAGTGGTGAGCTATTTTTGAAAAACACCCGGTATTTCTACTTTACCTAATTTAATAATACCCTCTATAAAGGCGCATTTTCACGACTCGTCTACTTGACAAATATTTGTAATTGGTATACAGGGTATACACGGTGCGTCGGGCATCTATACAGAATTTCTAAGTTATTTATTATAGGAACTACGCCGAACTCCCGCCAGACCCTATAGGCCAATAAAAAATATTTGCCAAGTCGTGAGAACACGCCATAAGAAATCAAAGACAATTCTATACATCAGACTTATGAAATAAAGTGATCTAAAAAGCATTTCTTAATATTTCTCGAGCCTCAAAAAAGAATCACTGAAGTAAGTAAGTAAATCTAATGTCAACATATAACAATAAATTAATTTGTTTTAGAAATTATGTATTAATTGGTTCCTCCAGGAAAAATTCGTGATTTAAAGCTTTTAATGCTGTTGTTCTTTTGGTTGGATCAAAAAACAGCATATCCTAAAAAAAGAAAAATTAAGTATTATTGGAAGCTATCAAAAATATTTAAACTCGGCAGATACAATGATCCATTCATAAAACGCTCTAAAACAGGTTTGAGAAAATCAACGAGTGCGAGAGAGAATGGATAGAGAAGGAAATAGGGTATCTGCGCGATGGCAACAATGTAGGTATGTACAAAGATTAGACCAATGACTAAAGAATATAAGGACATGTAACGCCCATATACGGGCTGCAGTAGAATTAGTGAGTTTAGAGGCCATTCTTTTGATGGCAAACAATGAGTCATCATTTGGTCACCAGCGACAATTTTAGCGATTTTTAATACTTCGGGTGTAGTAAACTTTGTATAAATTTATTACAATGGTGATCAGTTGTTCAGTTTTCAATTGTAAAAGCAGCAGTGAATAAGAAAGAGCCAGGAGTTACGTTTCATAGGTAAATAAACAGCCCACTCCAACGTTTTAGCGTTTTCTTATTGAATTCAATAATTATTATTCTTCAATTTCAATTAACATCTATATGTACTTGATATGTGCTATACGTCGATACTAGTTTTGTACCTTTTGTTAACATTTTAATACGTTTTTTTCGTAATTAATTAGTATGATACCCCATAGGCGTAGTCAAGTAATTATCAAAAAATATAAATATTGCTTCAAACAGTTAGGTTGAGAAAAATATGTGCCACGGCACTGTTTGGTGACATCGACATAATTTGCTCTTGGGTGTTATTTGTCCTTGGATTCTTTAGTCATTGGATTAGACGTTTAAAGTCATTAATTTCCAGAGGCGTGCCGATCGACCGACAGTATTTTATGGAAATTAAAATAATTGTTTAATAAAGTAAAAAAAATAATAAAATTTACATATTTGTCCCATTGTAAAAAATAAGTTGAGGGAGGACAGTGAAATGAATAAAAACCGGCATAATTTTTTATTACAAGGCAGCTTTTCACATAAGAATAAAGATTAAAAAAATCAATAAGTGTTTTTTTACTTTATTTTATTAAATAAAATATCAAATTTTAGGTGTATTAGTAAATGCAGTTTCAATTTCTTGCAACTAAACCAAACCTTGTTCGTCTCCGGCGAACAAGACTCCCTCTATTAGCAATAACAAAATAATTATTTTAACCTAGTAACACAATATTTTTAACGGTGGTCTTTTTTTTCATCAATTTATTTATACCGCCGGCGATAATTTAGCTAGTTTGATAATAATAATTACTGCTTGCCTACTTGCCTATAAATTTAAAATACATACCATTACTAAAGAATAGGCAGTCTCGCACATGTTGGGCGCTAAACTTTTTATGTCAACTTGGTTTTCTATATCAAAGGAATTCCATTTAATTGGAATATTATCGACTTCTGGCCAATCCTCTTTAGAAGGTTTTCCAATTATCCTAAATAAAAAGAGTAAAAAAAGTTTATGCATTGTCAAATTTAATGCGTATTAAGGTAGGTAAACATGCGAATTGCAAATATTGTTATTAGTCGATTTCAAAGAAATACAAAGGAGGCAAAATTGACAGTTATGGATTAAAACAATTAAAATCTGAGGACAGGAATATTGACACTGATTTAATTTTTGCAAATATTTGCTGCGAATTTTGAGTTTTTAGGTTATAATGTCATCTCTTTCTTGTTATTTCTTGTTACAGTTATAATAATATAAACATTGGTTCAGATGGAAGAATATAAGTATATAAACTAAAGAATAAACAAGAAAAAATTAAACGTGGTGTCATCTTACCTAAGTATTTCATTAAGTTGTTCATTTTCAGATTTACCACAAAATAGTGGCTTAAGTGTATACAATTCAACTATAATACAGCCCACCGACCATATATCTACAGGAGTGGCATATGGAAGTCCCAGAAGAATTTCGGGAGCTCTGTACCACAATGTTACCACCTAAAGAACAACAAAGTTGAATTCAATTAAAATAAATTGGTTCTGACAAAAACCGCTATATCTGATTTCGTATTTGATTTTTAAATGCCAATCGTACCGTATATTTTATTAACATTTCTAAAAATTTATACCAGAAGTGGGATTAATAGAGGGTGTCCCAATATTCCGTGGACATAGAACTACTACGTATTTTTCGAAACAAAATAAGTTCATTAAACACAATTTACCTCTATACAAAAGTGCTTCGTTTGTCCGCTAGAGGGCATCAAACTTTAAAAAAATAAACACATTTTTTCAGATATTTTAGAAACCGTTATTCAAATTTGAATGAGATTTTGGGTGTCTATGTTTTGCTAAGTGCTCTAGCATTTGGCTTTCACAAAAATTAAGAAAAAGTACGGGAAGGTCACTCCCATTAACTACATAGATTTTAGTATAAATATTTTCCAACTCCACGGACGAACCATTTTCTTTTCGTAAAATGGTCGCTCCAGTATTTACTATATTTTTGTCCCCTATAAAAAACGCCACCGTGCATACTTTTTGAGGAAAGAAATATTTTTCCATAGCTGAATTTAGTTGGCAAAAAATGACATTTTATGTAATATTTGACAATAAGCTTCATAAAAAGCTTAAAAGAAATAATAATTTTTAAATTAATAACGTTTAGATTGAAGCCCTCTAACGGACAAAGCACTTTTGTATAAAGGTAATAAATTATGTACAATTAACTTATCTTGATCCAAAAAATACGTAGTTGTACTATATCTACGAAATATTGGAACTTCCTGTATATTTTGACCTACAAAATCTGCTTTGGAAAAATAAATTCTTTAACATTTTTTTTAAACCATGCCATGTAGCGTTTTTTTTTACAAGAGACAAAAAATGTAGTAAATACTGGAGGGGCCATTTTACGAAAAGAAAATGTCGTCGGTAGAGTTGGAACATATTTATACTAAAATTTATGTATGGGTGGGCGTAGTTTTCACCCTTCCCGTACATTTTCTTGATTTTTGTGGAAGCCAAATATTAACGCACTTAGCAAAACATAGAAATCCAAAATATCATTCAAATCGGATTAACGGTTCTCAAAAAATCTGAAAAAATGTGTTTATGTTTTTAAAGTTTCATGTCCTCTAGCGGACAAATAAAGCACTTTTCTATAGGGGTAATTGGGCCTAATGAACTTATTTTTATACCAAAAATACGTAGTTCTATGTCCACGGAATATTGGGACACCCTGTATGTTTTTAGTGGCGTATAGAGACTTTATTCCCAATCCAAAATGTAAAAATGTTCAAGTTATCCACATCAGCAATCAAAATGAAACAAAAACAGAATGAAAAAAAATCAACAAAATCATAAAATTGCCAGAATAAACAATGTCATTAAATAAAACTAAGAAGAAAACTGCTCTAATATTGAAAAATAATATCAACTTGTGCGGTGTGCAGTATGCCGCTTCTATGTAAATATTTGTTAAAACATAGTCTAAAATTTAAAATTCTTAGATTTGACTAGTGATTCTCAATTGTCACTTTTTATGGAGTATATTTTAAATTACTATTTGTGATAAACAGCAAAAAAAGGCGAGCATGGGACCAATTTAGTTGTCACCAGGTATGATAACAAAAAAACTATTTAGAAAAATATGAAGAGAACTATATTACAGTTGAGGGTTGGAACCTTTGGTGTTACACAGCAAAATAAAAACACTAAATCACCACAATACACCAAAACACTTTTACTTTTACACTGGACGCGCGTTTCGCTAACCATGTTAGCATCATCAGCAGATGATTATAAACTAAAGTACAATCTACAAGAGAACTATACTTACAACTGACGTCAGTTTCATTTGAAAGTCATATGTCTTAGCTAGTCCAAAATCTGCCAATTTGATATGACCGTCGCTGGTAACCAACAAGTTTTGTGGCTTTAAATCCCTATGAATTATTCTGTTACTGTGCAGGAAATCAACCCCAGTAATTATTTCCCTCGACATATTGCGGATTTGTGTAGTTGCAAAACCTCTGAATTGAAAAAAATATATTCTATTAGTTTAATTTTTCAATAAAATGGCAATCAAGATAGCTGATGTCGCTATGGCATTTTTCTAGTGATAGTAACTAGTTTCGAAAGCGACATTAGTTTATGGACATTATTATTTAGATTTATAACAGTTTACATAAATTCACATACAACAGTTTAGAAGCAAGTACAGTCTGTCCAACGAGAAGATCCTTGACAGTGATAGATGTGTCTGACATTTTAATTTCAAAGTAGTTTATTTTATTTTACAAAGAAATAAGTTGGTACAACTGGAACTCATAGCAGGAAATTAATATATGTATTTAAAATTTGACTGACAAGTAGCTTCAAAATATTGTGAGAAAAACTGTATAAAAGTGAAAAAATGTAATCGAGTTATTTTATTTAATAAAAAAAATGTGTTAATACAAAACAAACAAAAACAAGACACCACATACCAAAAATATAAAAAAGAACTATTTCTTACTTTCAAGCTTTATGAAACTTCCCGCATTTATGATTATATTTATCAATATAACTTATGTACAAATACAAATTTGTAATATTCCGCAGGAATAAATAAAACAACATAAATAAAACAAACTATTTTATTAATAATATATATATATATATATATATATATATATATATATATATATATATATATATATATATATATATTCTACAGCTCTGGCTGCCTTCCTTCCATCAACCGGGTCCTCCATTCGTCTCGATCATCCCATGTTCCCTCTCGTAGTCCCTCTCGATGCATAGACTCGTCCACTTCATCTCGCCATGATCTTCTTGGCCGCCCTCGCTTTCTTCTTCAATTCGTCCACTTCATCTCGCCATGATCTTCTTGGCCGCCCTCGCTTTCTTCTTCCAATCGGGCTCCACTCTGTCACTCTGTTAATCCATCTATTTTCCGCCCTTCTAACATGACCGTACCATACCAATCTTTTCGTTTCTATGTACTTTAAGACGTCGGTCTTTCTCCCCATTCTTCTTCTTATTTCCTCATTCGTGACTCGGTCTCTTCTGGTTAGTCCACAGCATCTTCTCCAATACATCATTTCGGTGGCCAGAATTTTTCTTTGGTTGTTTTTGTTTATGACCCATACTTCTGCTGCATATGTCATGATACTCTGAATAATTGTTTCATATATCAATGTTTTAGTCTTTTTCCTGATATTTCTATCCCAGATAACGGAGTGCAGTTGTTGTATACAGGATCTTGTCTGTCCAAGTCTGACATTTATATCTTCTTCCGTAGTTGCGTTTTTCGATAGTGTAAATCCCAGGTATTTAAAGTTATTGGTTCCCTTTATTTCCAGGTGGTCTTCTATTTGTAAATCAGCTGTATCTTCCTCTGTTGTCATGTACATGGTTTTCTTCAGGTTTATTTCTAGTCCTACTTTTTCATACTCTTCATTTAGCTTCCTGAGCATATAACTTAGATCTTCCTCATCCTGGGCCATCACCACCTGGTCATCTGCAAAGCAGAGCGTGTAAAGATGTTCATTTCTTAGAGGGATTCCCATACCTTCACATTTGCGTTTCCAGGTTGTCAGTGCATGTTCCAGAAATATTTTAAATAATGTTGGCGATGTTGGACATCCCTGGAGCAGCCCCTTCGATGTTGTTAAGCTGTTTACTATCTTGTTCCCTACTTTTATGTGTATTTTGTTGTTCCTATATAAAGTCTTCATTGCATTTGTGAGTGTTATCGGTATGTCCAGTCTTTCCATCGCTTTCCATAGTTCTTTCCTGGGTACAGTGTCATAGGCCTTCTTTAAATCGATGAATGCTAAGTGTACTGGTTTGTTCTTTGCTTTTTTTTTCTCCAATAATTGTTGGATCGTGTAAATATGATCTATGCATGATCTCCCTGCTGTAAAACCTGCTTGTTCTTCTCCGATTTTTCCTTGTATGTTCTGTTCTAATTTGTCTCTCAGTACTCTACCATATAGCCTCCCCATGGTTGCTATGACACTGATCCCTCGATAGTTATCGCACTGTCTTCTATCTCCTTTTTTGAAAATCGATGTTAGCTGTGCTTCCTTCCATTCGTCTGGTATGTTATGTCCATTTATTGCTTTCCCAAACATTCCATGTATGATTCTGAATAATTTTTCTGTGCCGCATTTTATGAGCTCTGGTGCGATGTCCCCTGGTCCTCCTGCTTTTTTGTTTTTTATTGTTTTAATTGCCTTTCGTATATCTTCTATTGTTATAGGTATATGTTGTGCTCTAGGTTGTCCCTCTTCTTCTTGTCTTTCCTCTATAAACTTTTGTCTTGTTTCCGTGAGTAAATCTTTGTAGTGATCTTTCCACTTCTCAGGTTCAATGTATGATATGTATGATCTTTCTTTCCTATCGGATCTCAATTCCTTAATCACTCTCCATGCTTCTGATCTTCTAGCTCCACCGATATATTGGTCCAAGTTCTGGCAGGTTTTTTCCCAATTTTCGTTTTTCTCTCTGTTTACCATCCCTTTAACGTCTCTGTTTTTTTCTCTATATTTTTTGTAGTCATCTTCATTCCTGGTACTCAGCCATTTATTGTACAGTTGTTTTTTACATTTAATTTCGTTAATCGTCGTTTCACTAAGATTGTATTCGAAAGGTCGTTGTTTTCCTTCTACTTCTCCGAGGGCTTCCATCCCTGCCTGTAGCATACTTTCTTTGATGTGCTGGTATGTGTCTTCCATGTTATCATCGTATCTAAATTCTATGAGTTTCTGGTCAAGTCTTGTTTGGTATAGATGTCGTGTGGATTCATCCTGTAATAATTGTATTTTTAGTGGTTTTCTTTTTTGTATTTCTATCGGTGTTCCTTCAATGTTGTTCGTTTTTCTATTCATCCAAGGGAATTCCATTTTAGCTAGTAATAATCTGTGGTCGCTTCCGCATTCTGCCCCTCGCTGTACTCGGACGTCCCTTATTTTAATTGTAGATCTTCTTCGTATGATAATGTAATCTATTATAGATTTGAGTTCTCTCGTTTCTTGTGTCCAGGTGTATCTGTGGATATCCTTATGTCTGAAGAACCCATTTGTTACTTTGAGGTCGTTTAGTTCGCATATTTCTATGACTCTTTCACCGTTATCGTTGGTTATTTCTTCTCCAAATCTTCCTATTACGCTATCATTTTCTTTTCTGCCTACTCTCCCATTCAAGTCGCCTGCTATAATGAGTTCTTTTTTCCGTATGTTAGCAATTTCGTTCTGTATCGTGTCCAAAAACTTTTCTTTCTCTGTAACGGGGCTGTCATCGTTTGGTCCGTATGCGCCTATTATTAATAATAACACTTACCAAATTTTATACCTCACAGGTTGATTAATTAACTTTAATCTTAATTTTTTTAAATCAGTACCTTTTGACATTAGTTTTCTGCAGTACTAAAATCCATTATTTACCTATCGTGTGTCGATATTTTACAGCTAGTCCAGTTTTTAGGATGTGTTTAGTATGGTCCTTCTACCATATTCGAGATGCACTTATCTACGACGAGATAGTATATGAACTTTATTGATAGTAACTTTATTGGTGTATCTGTATAAGACATTCTGCCTGGTGTATAAGACATTCTGCCAGCGAGTATTAACCATAAACTGTGCTCTGGGTTCTACAGTTAATTTTCACTCGATTTTTCCTCCACTTGACTTCAAAAGACACAAAACACACGTAATAACACGAATCAAAATGCATCATCTTCCAAAACGCAGGGTATTTGACAAAAGTTGTCACCAAATTATAACCTATAATTTGGCACGACTTTGACAAACGTCAAAAATCTAAAGGCGAGTTCATACGCATCGGCGTCCGTTTGTCGTCCATCGTTCCGTCAAACCAATAAAACTGAAATACGATCTGTCATTTTTGAAATAAACCAATAAAACTGGTTAAAAACAAGTGACGACGCATGACGAATTTATATTTAAACCCATCCATAGTTAACTTAAAAATTATTAGAAACTTTTTTTCAGTAAAATAAATAGATTGGTATGGGACGTCATCTGCTTTTCTGTCATCGTCTGTCGAAATCTTACCTGAGAAAAAACCAGAGTATAGTAAACGCCACGAATGTTTGGGAGTGATTCAACGCTTGATGAAGTTAGAATCGACACGCGCGCTATCATTTTTACATTAAAAACGTAAATTTTTACCGCAGACGTAGGTTTTTAAGGCCCGGTCTAATCATCTGCCTGCGCTCCTCCTACTTATTCTAAAATGTTAGCGTGATTGACAAAGACGATACTATATCACGTTTCTTTGATTGATTCGTTTTTGTGCGTCAGTGCATTGGTGTGCTTGCAGTGCGACCAATGGGGCATTCCAGTTTATATTTATAACCAAATATATGTTTTGACAAGACTTTGACAGTTAAAACAACAAATTACAACAGATTATACAGGGTGTCCCAGAAATGAGTGCAGATATTTTAACTGGTAGTATAGTTCAACCCCAGAAACACGCCTATGAGGTTTTTTTTGCGAAAAAAAAATGTTGAAAATTTTATATTTTTCTTGACATTTTCCGGAAAATGTTGAAAAACTTTTGAGTGCCACTGTTCACTCCCCGGGAAATTCGTTTAGCGGGCATAGAGAGTGTCGGAGAGAATGCAACGTTGCCACCTCCTACCATACCCACATTCTGCATGTTTATCTATAAATTCAATTATTTTTAGTTGCTACAGAAAAAAATACGAAAATTAATTTTATTCATATTAGTGTAGATTGCTCTACTAATTCTAGAGAAATGCGCAATATTTTAAATACTTTTTACAGTGGAGTAAACTGAAAAAATAAATCTTAACAATTATAGCTTCTTTTTTGCCATATTAGGAAATATTTTCAATCGTTTCAATAAACAATTATAACCTTTAATGTTTAGTTAGAGCTTACCCCTTTTAATGAAAGTGTTTTTTATCCAGCACACATATACGCAAACACATACACACCAAATATCTATTAAACTGAACATCACAAACCTATCACATGCCTATCACTTTTAAAATATTATTTAAAATTTTTCACATGATAATAATCAAACACTAAACTCATAAATACAATAAAAAATGTTAAAAAAACTTGCTTTAATAACTACTTATATCCGGTGGCTGATGGTAGACAGTCCGGGGTTTTCTTCGACATTTCTTCAAAACCGACGCAACCCCGACAACGATTTCGAAAACACTGAAGGAATTACAAATCACAAATTTTTATTTAGGAATTTGTTGACTTAGCGTCCTCTACTGGACTGATGTATTACTATTATGGGTCAACGTTTTGGTGGTTGTATAAAGATAGATAAATCAATTTTCTAAATGTTTAATGTATGGAGTAGGGATATCCCAAAAATAAAATAAAAGTACAAGAAAGAATTAAGGTAAAATCAAAGAATATTCTACGTTATCTAAAATATAAAATTATGGGAAGCCCCGACAAAAATCTGACACCTGATATCAAAGTGATAAACAAACATCGGCGCATGCGGCAGCGAGCACTTACACTTAATTTTTCAGTTCATTACTAGATTAATGTTTTTTCTTATTCTAAATTCTAACAAATAAATAAACCTGTAAAACTGTATAAATAAAATCGGTCTTCGATTAAAAAAAAAAAGATCGATTATACCAAAAAATCGTTTGATAAAAATCACGTCGATTTGATAAAAATCGATTCAAAGCGTACATCCCTAGTATGGTGTGTAGTTTAAGGTTATGTTTAAGGTTATTCGTGGGTTATTAAACTCGCACAAAAACAAAACAGAAAACAACAAAAAACAATGCAAACAATGCCAAATAAACCTGTAAAAAAGTACTTTTATTATTCAAAATGAAATATCATATAATTCAGTTGGTATACGAATATATTGTGATTTATTTATAATGTTTTGTGTCAAAAATATGTGAGAAATGAGGTAAACAGTTTAAATGTCTTAATAAATTCGTTTTTAATTTATTAACCTTTCAGGTATCTACCTAATGGTAGGAAGAAATTAATTATGTAATGGTAGGAAAAATAATTTCACTTTAATTACGTATTAGAAAATCAGTAATCTTAAATTAGGATGCATCAATGGAGAAGAAGGCAATTGTAATCACAATACAATAACAGATCTACAAATACCAAGCAATACATTAAATCAAAAATCTCAGTAACACTGTTGGAATAATGTACTCCCTGTGGTCTTATTAAGTATAAAGTTTTGTTTTACATGAAAATAATTCTCCCATTTAATTATTCATTAAATTTTAGTGTCAGCTTATTGATAGCTCGATTACCAATCAAATAGTTTCGATGTTTTCTATACTATGAAGAAAATTTGATCTGATTAGATTAATTCAGATGTAAATTTATGTTATACGGTAAGATATTTTTAAACAAACCAAGAAAGTTCTCTTCAGACAAGTTCTGGTCTGAAATTGCAAATATTAATGAAAAAGTTATACATGTAGTTTTCTATTCATAAATGATATTATTGATTTTATTCTAGGTGAATGTATCGAGTCATATTATATTCTGCAGAATATATTGAGAAAAATGGTAAACTAACTAAAAGTGCTAACAAAATTTCTTAGGAAGTTATCGATATACCTAATTATTAGAAGCTGTAACAAATGTTCAAAGAGTCAGAGTATACTTTATTAGAAGTGTGTTAGATAGAATTATACACTTTAAAGAAAATATCTTTTATTATTGCAGGTAATGCATATTGTGTAATTCATATAATATGTGAAATCTATTATTACATACAAAGTTTGAAAATTATTTAAACAGCTACCTGTATGTTGTCTCACAATCTGATTTAGTGAATGGGTTATTAAAAATTGAACATATTTACACACAGAATATTGTGGATATGGATATCTGGAAAGCATGTTATAACCATTTTTATTTTTAGGATTTATGAAATGATTACATAAATATACTAACAACAAATTGCAATGCATCTGTATATTAGAGACAAAGATGAAAGAGAGTAACAAGAATATATGTATTCAAAAGAAAAATATCAAGACCATTTGTAGTAATTAAAATTAAAGAATAAAATACATAAAATGTACCATATGATCGAAAAAAACGGCGTCCGGTTGGCTGGGAAATGACGATCAATGACATTTCCCATATAAATTTACATATAAAATGACAGCGACCTTCATTTCATAGCCATCGTTGACGCCGTTTTTTCTCGATCATACGGTAGTTTATGTGAACAAATTCTCATTTCATATAAAAATTGGAGCTCTATCTAGAGTATATTTGAATATAAATGTTTTTATGTATTGGAAGGGGGACTGTAGTTTTCAAATATAATAAAGAAAATAGACTAAAAAAAACATGTGTGTAAGTTCTTTTTAAACTATTCTGTAGTTACGTAAATGTGTGTTTCAAATAGGTTGCTTTTCACAATAAAGTCAATACACAGTAATTATGCTTTTACTTTTTCAAAACACACTCTTGTTTTTATTATCAGAGAGTTATTAATATTAGAAAATTTAGTTACATGAATATAATAGGAGTAAATATTATGTTTCAAGTTTCAAATAATTAGAATATGATATGAGTCATAATAGCTTAAATATGATTGCTAATAAAATACCTAGTTTATACACATTTAGATATATCTCTTTAAATATAAATTAGTATTGCCACCATGCGATTAATGGGAAACACAATATGGTAGTGAAAAACGGCGTGGCGTCAGCGAGGGCTATGAAATAAAGATCGCTGTCAATTTACATATGTGTAAAATTTTATGGAGAATGTCACCGACCGTTATTTTCAAGCCATTCTGGACGCCGTTTTTTTCGACCATACGGTATTTCTAGGTATGGAATTATGTCTCTAATATGTAGTTAGGTAATTTTTTCCATTTGCCTATTGTTAATTATAACGTCGTCAAACTATAAAATTTGCTATATTTTTTACTTAAATTTTTTTTAGTAATATCAGAACATGTTTTTGAATAGTTTAATTAGTAATAAAGCTACTAACATGTTCAGTTATTTTTTTCTATAAAGCTTTTTGATAAAAAAATAAGTATACCTGCTAAGACGTTAAATTGCCTGAGAAATTACGATCGATGCCATTTACCATCCACTTGTACACAATAAAATGCCATCGATCGTAATTTCAAAAGCAGAAAACTTGCCGCCGTTTTTTCCAATGAAATGGGCGGTGGTGAGAAAATTACAGATTCCTGTATTATATTAACGACTAACGACATTATTAATCGCATGTACACAAAGCATGTACACTATTAGAAATCGATCTAATTTCTAATATTATCGAGCGTTTAAAATTCGAGAAAGTGATCGGAGATTGTGTTTAAAGTGTTGTGAAATGTTCGTTAGTGCATATTTTTGTGTCGGTAATCGGTATCGGTATAGGCAAATCACGATGGAGTATAGAAATCCGGAGAAGGTGGATATGCTAAGAGCATAGGTACTTTCTGGCAGGGGAAAGCGCTGTTGAAGCTCGGAGACTTTATTCCGAAGAGTATCCGAATAGATAAATCCCTAATGCTCGAACCTTTGCAAGTATGGTTCAGCATTTGAGGGATTCAAGAGGAAAAGCAACGAAGAATTGCTGCAAAACGTTAAAAATTCCATGCTCAGAAGAAGGAGAGCATGTATTGGAAATGGAGGTCGTCATTTTGAACAATTATTATAATAGCATGCAGTCAAGAAGCGAAGGGTATACCGGGTGGTGCATCATCGTTGGAAATATAGGATATCCCATGCAAATTTTGAACTGTCGAGATATTGGATCCCCTTGTGCAAATTTGTAATGTATCTTTAAAAACCATTTACGATTTAGCTCTAAAATTAATAGGGGAGCCAATATTTCCACAGTTGAAAATTTGCATAGTGTTGTTAAGAATTGTAGTGAAGTGATGTTATTAAGTGTAGTGTTATGTGCAGTTTTAAGAGTGGTAAAATGGAAAAAAAGAAAGCTCTGCAGTTGTATCTCTTTGCTATAGGGATATCTTTTTTTATTGTTTGGTAAGTTTTTTTTTCTTTTAGTTTATTTTGTGGAATGTGGAAAGTAGGGCTACTGGCGATCACCCACTTAAAAAAAGGGTAAAAAGTAACGCACCTCTGCAGAACCTCTTGGGTGGTGTGGGATTTTGCAAGTACTTTTAAGTCTTTCTAGTCGATGTGGCAACAGCGGGCGGCGAACAAGCCGAGATCCGCGAGATCTCTCCCCCGCGCCGGGGATCCGCGAGATTCCCCGGCGGCTCTCAAAATGTCGCAATTTTTTTTTTAAACTTTCAAAGTTAAATAACTCGGTTATTTTCAATCTATTTTAAAAATGGTAAAGAGAAAATATGTTTCTTTTGGCCAGATCTACCACCCCTTAAAATATCTGCACTCATTTCTGGGACACCCTGTATATTGATTATTATATGATTTGAAACACCACGGCACTGGAATTAAGTTTTATGTGACCTTGAACAGATTAGTTCACATGGTAGCGACTGATAAATCACTCCCAAACATTCGTGGCGTTTACTATATATTCATTATTTTATCAAGAAAAATAAAGCAGTATCTGATGGCGGAACGAATATGTTACTAGTGATTTTGTGAGGAAAATTGTTTTTTGGCCTCAAGAACTTATGCTCAAAGATATCCTGATAAGCGTTATTTTGAAAACCTATTTGTCCTATTTCGCAGAGCTGGTAGTGTGTTTATAAAAAACCTATTAGGCAGAAACCTGTCGTTGGAAGTGATAAAATTGCCGTCATTGGCTCTTTTATAGAAAATCTATACTAATATATCCACAAACCATATTACTTCTTCGTTTTTCACGACAGAATAATAAATACATATTTAATAAATATTAACAAATAGGTACTGATGAAAGTAAAATGGTACACTAAAACTTTTATATTATAATAACTTTTATATATAATATAATTATAATAAAAGTTCTAGTTATGGAAGGCACTGAAATTGGCTATGGAAAAAATAATAACAAAGTTGAACTTATTTTAATGTCTCATTCCATGTATTTCAGTTTGCCATAAAAATACCGTATGATCGAAAAAAAAAACGGCGTCCAGTTGGCTTGGAAATGACGATCGATGACATTTCCCATATAATTTTTCATATAAAATGACAGCGATCTTCATTTCATAGCCATCTCTGACGCCGTTTTTATTCGATCATAAGCTATATATTTAAATGTTCCGTTACAAACCGAGTCAAAATAGAAATAATTGGAGTACCTAGATACTTTAATTCTGTGTTCTGTTCATCAAATAATTAAAAAGATATAGTAACGAAAACTTAACAAAATAAACTTACTTTGGATGCTTCTCAATATACATTGCCAAATCTTGCTCTACATGCTCAAACACCAAAAACATCATTATGTCTTTTCCAATTTGCTGCCCATGACATATGTCTAACAACTTAACGATATTGGGATGGTCGTAGGAGTTGAGTTGTTTTAGTAGAGCGATTTCCCTCAAAGTGTTCATGGGGATGCCATCGTCCGTCAAAGGAATACATACTTTCTTTAAAGCTACTTCTTGTCCAGACTGTTTGTCTCTCGCCCTGTACACTGTACCGTATGCACCTGTTTAAAAGAGAGAGAGGGAAATATAGAGTTTATAGAGTGCGATAACATTTTTAAGGTTTCTTTAGCGCTCAGACACAGCTTGTTTATAACAATTTCTGTTACAAGAAAGTTTTATGCTTTAGAGTGTATAGCCCAATAGAATTTTATACTATAGAGTTGATATAACCCAATTTCTCAAAAAATCTGGAACGGCGGCGGCGCCGGCGGTAAATGGTTTAAATATTTTGATATTCATCGGCTGTGTAAAGTACGAATTTCTAATATGACTCCTAGGTTGGTACACAAAAAGTAAATAATAGATAACAAGTTCAACATTACATACAGGGTGAGTTTCCTACGATGTTCTCTATGGGTATCTCGGAAACTACTGGAGATAGACAGTCGGTTAAATGGGGAAAGAATTGCAGTTTTGAGGGGTTATGAATATGCGCCTTTCAGATTTTTGAAAAAGTTCATGGCTTACTAGATATTTAGAAAAAAACAAATTTTGGCTATTTTAAAAATTGTCCCTAATCCCATTATAATCTATTTTAGACAAAAAGTTTTCAGATAAAAGTTGTAGATAATCGCATCCCTTATGAGTCGGTGTTCCCGCTTTTTTCTAAAGCCTGTCATTTTTGACATATGACACAAACACATGTTTTTTTAAATGGAAACCATAGTTGGCCACGACTTCATAAAAACCGCCATTCTTTGAAGCTAGATATGCTTTTTTCGAAAAATTACTGAGTTGTAGCCAATATACAGGGTGTCATTGAAATGGTGTAAAAAATTCGGGGGGTGATAGTACAACTCAAAATAGTAAAAAAAGTTCCAAAAAGTATAGGGTGGAAAATACATATTAAGGGAGTTAGGGGCACTGAAAGGGTGAATTTAAAAAACGGTTGTTTTGAAATTGTAGGCATAAAAAACGATATAAAATTTCGAAAAAATTCTTTGCCATAAATTTTGACCCTAAATCAAATGGTGATACTGAAAAATTATTTGAAAAAGCGGAAAGGGTAGTTTTTGCAAGGGTAGGGGGTTGTTTCGCGAATAACTTTTTTGAGGCTATTTTTTTTGCAACGTGGGTTTATTTTTTGAAAACTACATACTTTTTTCTACAAAAAAGGTATCTTGTTTCATATGGCCCAGAGCGATGGTTTTCGAGAAAATTGAAGGCAAAGAGTTTGCTCTGATGAGTTGCTAACTGGCTAATCAACATAAACTTATGAAAGAAAGAAACTTAGAAAAAAAAATCATAAATTTCATGATATTTAAAACATCTTATTGGCTTTAAAAACGAAATAAACTTTTTTGGTTTTAGATAAATTTGGTTTACTCAGTGCCGATTGATACTGAAAAGCAACTACGGCAACGCATTATTAGAGAACAACGGCATACGGTCGAGTCGGCCGCTGCTGGCACGTATACGTAGACGTAAAGAATCTTTTACGTGTATAAAAAAATAAAAAATATAAGAAATGCGCATGCGTACGTAAACGTTTACGTGTTTGTAGGCCGACTCGACCGTATGCCGTTGTTCTCTATTGACTGTTCCAATCAAATTTGGACAACACCAAGGATATTCGACAGGGTACGCAGATTGTGGAGAAGAAGATCAGATGTCTGCATTGAAATGAATGGTGGTCACTTTAACATTTACTATGAACAACTATGAATGAATTAAGGAATGCATTATTTTAATAAGGAATTTTGGTAATTGGATTATTTCGTTTTTTAAAGCAATAAGTTGTTTTAAAAATCATGAAATTTTGATTTTTCAATTATTTGATAACTACTTGGTTACTTTTGAACCGCCATAACTTTCATAAGTTTATGTGGATTAACCAGTTAGCAACCCATCAGAGCAAACTCTTTGCCTTCAATTTTCTCGAAAACCGTCTCTCTGGGCGATGTGCAACAAGAGTACCTTTTTTGTAGAAAAAAGTATGTAGTTTTCAAAAAATTAACCCACATTGCAAAAAAAATAACCTCAAAAAGTTATTCACGCAACAACCCCCACCCTTGCAAAAACTACCCTTTCCGCTTTTCCAAATAATTTTTCAGCAGGTATCGCCATTTGATTTAAAGATCGCGCACACTATACCTACACGGACCAGTACGGACCAGCACAGCACAAACCTGCATCCTGCATGACGTCGCACACTTTACCGCCACAGACCAGCAACATAAGCGAGTTTCGAAAAAAGTACAGTTGTCAAGGCTCAGCTACTAGAGCGTGCAACATAGAAGTGTTGAAAATGAGTAGTTCAGAGGAAGAGATTATTATTTTCGCTGTGTTGTGTGAAGAAGAGGAGGAAGAGAAGGAAGCTAAGAAAAAAAGAAGATTTTGGGTTCACCCTATAAATCAAAAGAGAAAGCAATATGGCGAATTTCATCATTTGTTTCCTGAATTAAAAAGATTCGAAGAAAAGTTTTTCCAATATTTTCGAATGTCACAAATCAAATTTGATTATTTTTTTTGCTATCAACTCCCATATTGCATCTTTTCTTTCTTGGTCTCTATATATAAAATGCTTGGCTCGTATCGCACAGCTCTGGATACTTTTGTACCAGTAAAATAAGCTTTTCTTCATTCATATTTAAAACGATTTAAAGGTTCGAATAAAAATAAACGAAATCTAACCTACATCATGCGACTTGAGCCAGCTAGCGTACTCGAAATACTGACAAACCCTTCAATATTTGCATGTTTGTGGAGGTGTGCTGGTTCGCCGGTGCGCACATTAGGTCGGACCAGCACGACCAGGCATAAATATTGCCGGTCATATTTGTCCCTGACCGACACGACCTGTTTTGACGGTCGTGGCTTGTGGCGGTACGTGCTGGTACTGGTCTAGTGTGCTCTACTCTATTAAATAACACGGTCACCTTCACCGGTAGATTTTACTGGTCTGGTCCGTGCCGGTCCGTGTAGGTATAGTGTGCGCGATCTTTTAGGGTCAAAATCTATCACCCCCCGATTTTTTTACACCATTTCAATGACACCCTGTATAGCCACAACAATATGACTTTTCAATGACAGTGGAACTACAAATACCATAAACACTATTTTATAAGTGTGTTGATCAGGACCCATAAGCAAGAGCATGCTTTCAACGCTAAAATTGCTGTGAATCTTTACTGTCTTATTCAAAAGCAAAAATATCTTCATTGAGATGAATAAAACAACAAACTACCGGGAAAAGACGTATCTAGATGAAAAAATGATTTTTAAATTCTTAGCTTTGTTAATATATATTCCACAGTGTGTTTCAAACTTTTACCAAAATATCAACATTTAGTTTTTCCTCGTATAATTGACAGACAGGAACTTTCATTTTTAATTTAGAAAGAGATAATAAAAAGTCAAATAATTTAGCTACAAATTGCTTAAAAAAATTATTAAAATTGGCACACTAGAACAAAATATATTAAACTTTAAAACGCATCATAATTTTAAGGTGCCCGTTTTTTTTATCAGATATTGCTAAAGGATAAAGCCCCGTTTTCAGAATTTCGCATTGTCGAGCGACACGTCAAAAGAACCAATGAGATTTGCACATAATTCAAAATTGACAGCTGTTTGAATTTTACACAAATCTTATCAGATAATTTAAAAATATAAAAATACTATCAGATAGTTCTAATAAAGTGGCTATGAGAATGTGCAATTCGTTTTTTGATTTTTTAAAAAGTAACGCCAGGAAAAAATAAAAATGATTTTCAAATAAATCCGTTTTTTTCCAAAAAACTCAGCAATCCTTGAAATTTTTAAAACTTTTTTGATGGCATTTTGGTGAACATCCCAAGGCGCAACTTTGCTCCAATTTAACCATCTTCGTATCTATTACAGTTTCTGATATACCAATGCTCGTACCTCGAATTTGTAGCACCCTGTATAACAAGATAAAAAACATACACAACCAACATAAACCAAAAATCAATCCACCAAAAGTAAGCAAATACTTGAAAATTATTACAATTTTTGAAATTAATATTTTTTCTTAAATTTTAACTTGTGATAGATAAATTCAATCTGTTCAACTAATAAAATATATTGCAGTTTTAAAAGTTGTATCTTTTGTATCCCCATTGTATCCCAAAACACACGTTAAAAAAAAATAGAATATTAAATTCATTTTTTTAAAAACCAAATTTGAATATTAAGTTACCATCATTTTTATTTTTATTTATTTATTTAGGATTTTAAAGTACAAATCTTAGATATCTTGGGGTTAAATTAAATGATATAAATAGCAGAAATATCAATATAATTTTGAACTAATGTGTAGCATTTATATGAACTACAAACTAATGAATTAAATTTAAATACAACATTTTAATTATAGTTTTGAGTAATTACCAGAATCAACTAAATTTGTATAGTTATTTTATAAATGTTTAAATATAGTGTTAAATTCAAGTAGGTAGTAGATAGTTTAAATCTACAGCAAAATTATACCGGGTGTTGCATCGTCAAGCGGGACATAGGAAATCCCATGTAAATTTTAATGGGGTCAATTATTGGCTTCCCTAATTATTTTAGAGAATAATTCTATTTAGGTTTATTGAAGAGCACTAAAACCCACATTCAAAAGAATAACTTTAGATACTTTTGATTAGCTTGTTTACGAGTTATCGCCGATTTCTTTTTAAATATTTCTCCTTTCTTATAGCCCTGTATTTACTTATGAGCACCAGTCAAAATAAAAGATAACTGTCAAATGAAGTTGTCATTTAATACTACCTAAATTAATAAGTTATTGAATATTGTAATAATACTATAATTAACCTTGTAATTCATTAATTTATTTTACTTTAATTCATATTAATTTGTATTTATAAATACATCTTTAAGATTTCCGATGTAGGAATGAGTTTTCAATAATAATAAAGCACTAAATAGGTAAATTTCTGAAATGACAACTTCATTTGACAGTTATCTTTTACCTTGACTGGTGCTCATAAGTAAATACAGGGCCATAAGAAAGGAGAAATATTTAAAAAGAAATCGGCGATAACTCGTAAACAAGCTAATCAAAAGTATCTAAAGTTATTCTTTTGAATGTGGGTTTGAGTGCTCTGCAATAAACCTAAATAGAATTATTCTCTAAAATAATTAGGGAAGCCAATAATTGACCCCATTAAAATTTACATGGGATTTCCTACGTCCCGTCCGACGATGCAATACCCGGTAGATGATAAAATAATGATTTTGAAAATTATTAACGTTAAGTACTAAAAGAATTGATTATAAAACTAACTAGTGACTGGAGAATTAAACAGAAAAAGACATTAATAAAATATCTATACAGAAATACAAGCATCAAGATTTTACAAGATCAACTTTTTTTGATAGTACTTCAAGTTGGTTTGATTAAGCTGCATGGATTTAAATTTAAAATATCTTAGTATTTAAAACTAGTTAAGTACAGTAAACTAATAAGTTATAAAGATCTAGTTAATATTAAATATTTAAAAAAACTGTCTTATTACCTCTTCCGATCTTATTAATAGCTTCATAAGTACTAGTTCTTTCTCCCATACTACTTCCACTTTGTGCCATTAAGAAAGTCAATCCTAAAATATTGATAATAAGTTAACATACTCTACTATCATGCATAACTTTATATATTTTACCATAACAATTATGTGTTATGATAATCGTCTAGTAAAATTTAGGGGTTTCATTCAGAAAAATGTAGTTACTGTGCCTTTTTGCTTTATGCCCTGTAACTCACAGATATACATACATTAATATTAAATTTCATAACAGAAAGATGTATTTTAACACCCTCGAGTGGGGTTACGAAGGTCCAGATACTTAATCGAGGGATGGTAAAAAGGGCTCTGTCATATCAACCCCATATACAAGCCTTTTTTAAATATTATATATGCCCTTCTATCCTTTATTATTGGCTCAAGTTTAATATTCTTATACTAGATCAATTACAAGCAAATTTGGCATATAATTCTGCTAGGGGTTGATTTCCACAGTATAAAATTGATACAGTATCCAAAGGGCATTAGATTTACATAAACTTGCATTATAAGTAAGAAAACTCTTTGGTGGAAAATGGTATGTAGTAGAAATTGCTACTTACAATTCTAAAGTGAATTATCCGTTTATTTTTCGACGAATAAACGTTCTTTTTACCCTGAATAGATTTGCAACAAATAAAAGTATTAAAAAATTAAATATATTCTTGTTTTGGTTACCTTTAAAACGTGGTTTAAAATCTTATCTAGAATTTGGCAAATCAGCAGATAATAACAATTTATTTTCAGTTATTTAAGTTTAATAAGTGTATTTTAGCATTAAAATGAATAAATTATTGTATATTACCGTTTATTTAACACACAACACACAAAAATAACATTTAAAACACAGAATTTAAACAAATAGAATTTTTAGAAACAAATGTTCCTTTTCTAACAGCTGGTCCGCAACCCGTTTTACATAATACGCCGGAGTTACTCCTTGGATTGATACTTGTGTTGGTGTCCTTTTTGCTCCGCATAGAATAGAAAGAGATATGCATGACTGGTTTGGCGTTTATTATAAGCATTGATCAACAGATGGCTGTGAATTGTAAAACCGGTAATTATTTGGCAGTTACCGGTTTCTATTAATTTTAACAATGAAAAACAGATGAAAAAATAAAATATTTTTTACATATTTATAGTTCTAATATATTTACTACAAGGGTGTGTTCTTGAGTTATTCATCAAAATTAAACAGTATTTTGAATATTTATAAAATAGTCACCATATAAAATAGTTAGAAAATTAGCCGCCCCTAAATAATATGGGCGACGAGGGACTTTATTTTACATAAAAAAATAATAGCTTAAAACTAACATAATAAAATCAATTAGTTAAATATTCTGTAGAGTAATTTATTCCTAAAACGAATTCATTAAAATTATTCATTAAAATTTACACTTGAAGAAGTAGTACTTCATTAGGGTCTTTGTGTTGAATATTTATTTTATGATAGGTACCTTATTCTATAATAAATTATTTTTAATTGATTACAATCAATTTACTTATTTTATTAAAACATTCTTATTATTTACTTTTGTGTCGGGTCCAGACCTTAGGTCCAGACCAAACAGACAAAAAAAAATATAAAATAAATAAAAAGAAAAATAAAAAAAGATATCGGGCTCGTCCGGGAGTTGAACCCGGGACCTCTCGCACCCGAAGCGAGAATCATACCCCTAGACCAACGAGCCATAAGCAAGTTATTCTTCAAGGTCAGGGTGCTTCCAAGGCCATCAATCGTTTTAATAAAAACAGTAATCGATTTAGAATTTTTATACCTACAGGGTGCTACAAATTCGAGGTACGAGCATTGGTATCTCGATAACCGTAATAGATACGACGATAGTTAAATTGGGGCAAAGTTGCCGCCTTGGGATCTTTACCAAGATGCCACGAAAAAAGTTTTAAAAACTTCAAGGATTGCTGAGTTTTTTGGAAAAAACGGATTTTTTTGAAAATCAATTTTATTTTTTCCTGTCGTTACTTTTTAGAAAATCAAAAATGTGGCCGGCCGTAGCTCCAGCGTTAGTGTGTCGATCTGCGGAGCGGAAGGTACTGGGTTCGATCCCCAGCCAGTACGGTCGCTTTGTTTATTTAAATAAAAATGTTTATTTATCTAAATAAAGCGACCAACGAGCCGCCATACGCCACCTCAAGAAAGGTAATGGCAAATCACCTTGAGTATATTTGCCTTTTGTACAGGGTGGTCGAAATTTGTCTGTTAACAGAGAAAACCTATTTCCTGACTACCTAGATAGAGCAAAACCGACATAGATGTCATGGGCTCGATTTCTGAGATACACATAATGTCGTAAACCGCCTGTTGATATTTTCACTGCCAATTGAGATACAGGGTCTTTTTGATTTTTTTGCCATTTGGAAAATTGCCCATAACTTTTGTATTTTGCGGAATAATAAAATTCTGTAAAAACGTTCTTAAGGCACTTTTTTAAGCACAATCCAGTGGCGTAGTCAGTTTTTTGCTATACATGCTCTTTTTGTCAGAAATAATAAAAAAAAAATTTAAATGGAAATCGTATAGTTGGCTATGAACTTGGAAAATGGAAAAATGCTGGCGTTTAACCCTTTCCAACGATATAAAGTTATGTGTATTTATTTCTAAGAATGAGACAAATATTAGACTTTTTATCTTTGTATCGAAGCGGGCCTTGATTTTGTGTTGACCTAGTTGCCTAATTATTTTTTATCACAATTTAATATTCTATATTATTATTTATCTGCATAATTAAAAACTTTTGAAAAGATAAATCAACATTCTATATTAGTATTATCAATTACAATTAAAACGCTAGGGTTACCACTGAACTATACACACCGGAAAAATCTAGGGATATCATTTGATTAAAGTTAAAAATAAATGTTTTGAATAAACAACCACATATTTGTAGGCCGATTCTTTCTACTTTGAAACGAAGTAGTCACACTAGTTATTTCTAAATTTGGGATATTTGCAGAAGTGTTTGTGCATTTTTTGTCAAATGTATAAAAAAGCACCTAGCATCAATTGTTCGAATTTAACCTGTACTGGCTATGTTTTTATGATAACTGGCCAGAATTTATTCAAATAACTCTGTTTAGTATTAAACGACATTATGGAGCGTAGACATCTTAACAGAGACGAAATGCTAAGGGCCATGGGTATGCTCGAAGCTGGAATGCGCCAAATCGACGTAGCTAGAGCATTAAATACAACGCAAAGTGTAATATCGCGATTAAATGCACGCTACCGTGAAAGTGGTGATGTTGCTGAAAAGCACACAGGGCGACATCGCATTACTACCCCTCAGCAAGATCATTTTTTACAATTAAATGCTCGACGCTGACCGACTCTTACAGCACCAGAGCTTAGTTTAATTCTCCAGGAAACACATAATGTAACCGTTAGTCCTGACACTGTTCGCAATAGATTAAGTGAGATCAACTTAAGAAACAGACGCCCTTGGAGAGCTCAACCCTTAACGAGAGGAAATCGAGAGGTACGATATTTGGGGGCTCAAGATCATGTTCAATGGTCGAATGAACAATGGGCCAATGTTCTCTTCACGGATGAGTCACGCTTTGGAATTCATCCCTGATTCGAGAAGGCTTAACCGGGAAATCTTATTCGGTTGGATCATGTTCAGGAAGTGCACCCTTATCAAGGTGGAACAGTTATGGTCTGGGGAGGAGTCCAGTTAGGCCGAAAAACCGATCTCGTTTTTCTTGAAAGGTTTCTAACAGGAATCACATATCGTGATTTAATTCTTGAGCCTGTCGTGTTAGCATATGCCAATGATTTTGGGAGAAACTTCATTCTCATGCATGACAATGCACGGCCTCATACAGCCAGAGTGGTAACTGAGTTTATCAATGCTCATCAATTAAACATCTTACCCTGGCCGGCACAATCTCCTGACCTCAACCCCATCGAGCACGTATGGGACGCAGTCCAAAGAAGAATTTTGAGAATGGGAGTATGGGAGTATATAATGGGGGCGTAGGGATCTGATTCGGGCCACGAATGCAGCGTGGCATGCTGGACCTCAAGAAAAGATCGACAACCTGATGAGGAGGATGGAGAGACGATGTAGGGCTGTAATGAACAGTAGAGGAGGTTATACCCTTTATTAAGTAAAAATGGTTTTATCATTTTTTTTAATTCACAGTTTAGAATAAAAAAAAATGTGTGTATTTTTTTGAGTGCAATAAAAATCAAGGTAAATTTGAAAAATTCGGTAAATTTCGCATTTTTATCTCCAATACGTCCTGTAAACTATTTGTTTATTTTAATTTTATTGTATCAGAAATGCAAATAATAAAATTACTGAAGATGGCTGGATAAAATTGTAATATCCCTAGACTTTTCCGGTGTGTGTATTAAATGGAGAATTTAGAGAGAATTGGGTTGGAACAAGGGGCCCATATCTTGGCCTCCTAGGTCCTGTGATTTTACTCCTTTCGACTTTTTTTATCCAGTTCGCCTAATAAATCGTTGTAACTCTGTGCGCAAAAGATATTTATTGTGTATTCAACAAGGAGGTGCTCAATTTGAACATCTTTCATTTTTTTAGAAAACTATATTCGTCACTCAAAAAATACGTTTTTTAGTTTTGTTCTTTGTTTATTGTATCGATTTCAGTTGCAATTACTAATACTAATAATTACTATTACTACTAATAATAGAATGTTAATTTACCTTTTCAAATGTCTTTAATTATGCAGATAAATAATAATATAGAATATTAAATTGTGATAAAAAATAATTAAGCAAATATGTCAACTCAAAATCAAAGCCCGCTTTGATATAAAGATAAAAGCCCTCATATTTCCCTTATTCTTAGAAATAGATACCCATAACTTTATATCGTTGGAAAGGGTTAAACGGCAGCATTTTTTTAAGTTCATAGCCAACTACGATTTCCATTTAAAAAAATATATTTTTTTATTATTTCTGACAAAAAGAACAAGCATAGAAAAAATCTGAGTACGCCACTGGATTGTACTTAAAAAAGGGCCTTAAGAACGTTTTTAGAGAATTTTATTATTCCGCGAAATAAAAAAGTTATGGCCAATTTTCAAAATGGTAAAAAATTCAAAAAGACCCACCCCGTATCTCTGTTGGCAGTGAAAATATCAACAAGCGGTTTACGCCATTAAACGTATCTCAGAAATCGAGCTCATGACATCTATGTCGGTTTTGCTCTATCTAGTCAGGAAATATGTTTTCTCTGTTAAAACAGACTAATTTCGACCACCCTGTACAGTAGGGTGGATCGAAAAATCGAAGTTTCGAAAATCGTTTTGGAATACTGCGCAAAAGTTGCCAATTAGTATTAGAAAACTAATATCTATTTAAAGTTTTTCAATTTTTTTTCATCTTCTGGCCTCTACCGGGCTTTAAAGAAAGTAAAAAATACAAAAATATAAAATTTTGATTTTTAGCCAAAATTTCAGGTAATTTCAATAATATATCTTATTGAAATATGACATTTTAACCCCCCTACTGAGTGTACCCTATGTACCAAGGTCAAACATTTTTTTTTAAAAATACCCAAATATTTACACAATTTAACAAAGAGTTAAAAATGTGTCGAGCAGAGCACTTATAGCAGTTTTTCGCTTGTTTAACAATATTTTATGTATTCACAATTGTTAAACAACCCAGAACTCACCACGGGGAGGAAATTGCTCGGCGAGTTCCATCCCACCCTCCCTCATCCATTTATTTTTCCTCACTTATTGATTGTAGTCTTTTTTGACTCAAATTGTGGCATAAGTTTGCGCGCATCTATTTTTGTCTTTATAAAACTGTCTCTCTTTTGTATGCCTACAACTGATAAAGATGCTTCGGTTATGGGATGATAAAAGTTCGGATATTGCGTGAACGATT